GATCTCGGGAATACTTTCTTGACGCGTTGGCCTAATGCGTTGCTTGCCTGCAGTAAGAAGCAATCAATGAATCAATCCCAAGCCAAAGACCAACACATGCGGTTGTCCAAGGGTGGCGAAAGGCTACGGGGCCTTCCATTCCGGAGTCGAAGTGTACGGCATGGAATGGTTGGCTCTTCAATGTCATAATGTGCAGAACCGAAGCCTTTTCGACAACAAATCTGAGCCGAAAGAGGTCATTTGGTATGACGGCCGACAGCTGGTCCACGGGGGTGGCGGCTAACTTGTCCGGGCTTCAGTTGGAGCATCCTAGAAAGCAGGAAGGCCTCCACGTCACGACTGAAGGCCTGGGCATCATCCAGATCACTGCTTCCGTGAAACTTTGTCCATGGGTGCCTGCCTTGGAAGGTAGTAGTGCGATAATGTTCGACATTGTTCGACAGGATGCAATAGCATGGAAATTGAGGTTGCACCAGCTTGTCCAAGGGCCAGGCATGGAACTTTTCTTGTGTCAGTTTCTTTCTCGACATAGATTCTTCGGTGGCATCAGGTCACCGAGATCATCCGAGAGATGACCGTGGAATGGAAGGGTCGAACTTACGACGTGCGCATTGCTGATTTTCCAGATGGTTTCCATATCTTCCAGGACGGATTTCGAATGCCAAGGGATCAAGGTTGCCTTGGCAGGTGCTGTCCAAGAACTGTCACCACTTCTCCGATGCACGGTACCCAGCGGTTTTTGAAGAGGGAACGTCCACCAATGTTCGGCCACCAATGTTCGGCGACGTGCATGTCGAATGCAAGTAGTTTAAGATTGTTGTGTCGCAAGGGGGGCAGCGAGCATGTCTGTTCACGCTGCCTATAAAGACCGAAAAGAAATGCATGTGCATGAGATTGCTCAGGGGTGTTGCTGAGAGTGGACCGACTTTAGCAAACAGATTCTTTGCTCAGCGCCGCAACTGGTTCCTTTTCCATTTATTCCGTTCAGAACATCGCGCGAGTGAACGCAAAGCACTGACACCCAGGCATCTGCATCAGGAGTACATACTACTTGTACAATTCCGTACCTCTCTGGCCTTACCCATGCTAATTTGGCCTGCCGTATGCAGCTTCAGGTCATTTCTCATTTCTGTGCAGTTTTCAAGCGTGTATGCAGCTTAATACAAGCGATTGATCGGTAGTGATCCACTTAGACACAGCCGGCCTGTTTGCTTTGCCTTGCATGTTTCTGTTTTTTTGCGCGTCGTGAAAGTTTTTCGCACTTCAGGATGCGGCGAAGGTTCTCGACAGCATGTTCGTCCGTTGTCAGCCCGTGCCCGTACGCGCGTGTATTAACACAAGAAGCTGAGCTCCCGCTCCTCACAAGCGTTCCGCTCGATTCCTTCGTTTGCCCACAACTACACTTCGTCGGGTTCTCTGCTATGAGCACCAGCCGGTCCACTGGCCGGGAGCGGGAGAATCCTGCGTGATCCGTGCGCCTGCACACTATTTCCGTTCCGTGTGCTGCATAACTGGGTTAGGAGTGTAGTGATGTTGTGTTGCTATGTAGCTCTGTTTTTTCAATCCACAGTTCCACACAACTTGCGTCGTTGCGGTTTGATACGTTCTGTTTGGGGGTTTGTTGTATGATGTTGTATGACTTTGTGTACACCTTTCTCCGATTTTACGATGTAGCGGCCACAGGAACTGTGCCGGCGACTGGGTGTGGCTCCACTGCCAGAATGGGTGCAAAACTTAGCCACGTGACCGCGTCCTGCTTGCAACCATGGAATGTGTAGCAAGGTGTTATCCCAATAATTGCCGCTGAATTCACAGGTGAACAAACTTGCAGGGACGACAGCGTCTGCGGCTGGAATGCCTTTGCCTTATTTTTTTGGATGCACGCGGAAGTGAGCCCTTGAAAACGGAAGTGAGCCCTTGGAAACATCTGTCACCGACTGGCCAGGATTGAAGGCGTTTCACAAAGCACCGGAAAAGTGGCGTCAGACTTGTGGAAGTCTTACGTTCATCGAATGTCTAGTGCAGAAAGCCTGACTTGTGTTAAATGCCATCCTGGATGTCCAAGGGCTTGGTTGTTTACCTCCGCTGCGGGCGGCGTTTACAGTGCCACCGCCGAACCTGTTTTGGAAGTTTGGCTGTCGTGCAATCGCTACATCAACTGACCTCCGGTTGTGTCTCTGCTTTTCTCCGTTCCTTCCTCGTATCAGGTCTGGTGACGCCAGGGTCTGCCAGCGCCGAGGCGAGAAATTGAAGGGAACAAACGTGGGCATTGCCCGAGCTCAGCAGCAAGGGTTTACTTTCACACCGGATTCGGTGGTGTTTCTATGACTTGGGCATGGCATGAAGCATCTCGTTGTTCATTTGCTGCCTGCAAGCGTTTGCTAGCATTTGCTCACATTCAACCGTCGACTTTTGGGGCTTGTTTTGTTTCTTCGCCTCCAACCAATTCGCTGTTCCGGCAAATCCAGCCATGACTTGTGAAAGCCTCCCTGTGCATGGCCGGAAGGGTGCACATTCCACCCCCCCGCGCGCACCCTGTTTGGGTGTGGGCTGGGACAACCTCCAGGTATGTCGGTTGCTCAACGACATGACCGGTTCGGCATTGTTGCACATCGAGGGCTGCCTCACGGAGAGGCATGTTTTCAAACTTAGGAATCAACCTTAGTCTTCAAGTGAAGCCTGAACGTACATACAATTCAGGCAGCTTCTAGATGGGGTCTGAATGCACATCAGCGCAGCTAGAGCACTTTCCGTGTGCTGCCCAAGTCAATGAGTGTAGGAGGTCACGCCCTTCTCTGAAACTGTCCCAAAGCTAGCGGAACATGGCGGAACAAATGGATGGAGCAAAATGGAGCTGTGGACACAAAGCTCGCAAGCAGATTTGGTGCGCTGGGATGACGTCCTGCATAGCCATAGCTGGCATGGTCTGCTTCCTTATCTTCCTTTCAACTAACCAAGTTTTCACCGGATGCATGGCGGCGGCTACTCTCGTCTACTTTTCCCCCCGAGATGTTCTTAACGCAAGCTGGTGTGGGGTTGCGGTGGGCTTACCACAAACACTTTACTTTCCTAGCCCAACACCCCGACCTTGTGTGGTCGCAGGGGCGGTGTTGGGGAGTGTGGCAGTGAAGTCTGGAGCGGATCATGCCGTTTAGTAGGGATAGCTTTCGTTGGCATCGGCCGTGCTGAATGGCCCTTTGAGGGTTTTACTGCCCTTGCGACACCTTCAACTGCTTTATGTCCTTGCTGCGGCGCTCGTCGGGTGATTCTCCTGATACCAGGATTACCTCTTTTGATCAATGCGCTCACCGCCGTCTCGCTGTGTGTCTGCAGCACAGCTGACCCTGCCGGGGTCGACCAGGGTGCAGTGTTATCAGCACTGGCACCAGTCTGGCACCTGCAAGCGCACATCCAATCATCCTGGTGTCTGAGTTCGAAAGTCCGAAGTTCGAACATGTGGAGTTCGAAGTTCGAGAACATGCGAATGTGGCTTAGGGATTAGGATCTCCGCTTGCAATAAGAAGTAAGCTAATAATGTGGGGCTGCGGGTGTGACGCCTTCAAAGTTGTATTCTCACAACTCCAAACGTTTAAACTCAGGAAACTCTCAAACGTAGGGGGGGAGCGATGCCCAGGCTTTCACGAAGGCGACATAGAGAAGGAGGTGTTTCTGTGCGCGTACGAGATGCTTTCAACATTTCGACCTCTCGAACTCTGGAACTCCTAACGTTCAACCTCGGGTTCTCTCAAACTCGGAGTGATCAAACTTTCAACTCGTCCTGCATCAAACCCTCGAACTCGCGAACAGGTATCAAAATCATTCATTCTATCAAACTTTGAACCCGTCGAAATTTCAATCTTTCGAACTGGAAAGCTTCAAAATGATAAAATGCTTCAAAGCTTCGAACTCGTCGATCCCACCCCGACTCACACAGGACCTCAACCCGAAACTTTGCAGCTTTGTACCTTTGGATCTTTCAAGCTCGACCACGGATCCAACTTTCAAGATAAAAGCTCTCGAACTCGCAAGTTGAAACTTCGTCAAATTCCAAACTCTCTCAGTTGAATTACTTCCAAGCTCGGGCGTAGCGAGAGTTTTGCGATTGAGTTGGAGAACACGCGCTCGAGCTCGAACATTGAAACCTTTGAAGGTATGAACCATCAAGGGCTTGGAAGGTTGAAGGTTCGGAGTTAGAAAGCCGCCCCCAAATCCTAAAGCTTGTTTTGTCTGGCCAGATGAACTTCAGGGGCTCCAGCTTTGGGGTTTGCAGGGCTTAGGGTTTGTAGGGTTGAATGTGTGGGCCGGTAGGGTATTGGGGCTTTGTGAGCCTCGCGTTTGGGGTCCAGGGATTTGGGAATCTGGGGGTTTAGTGGCTCGGCTCTTTGTTTCAAGTACCCGGCAGTCGTTTCGAGGTCTGGATGCAAAAGAGTGGTTTCTTGGAACTCCAAACCCAACGCCGTTGAAACTTTCGAGTTCGAAGCCGGCGCCTCTGTGTTTGCTTTGGGTTGATCTAGAAGCTTTAACTTTCGCAATGCGTCTTCGCCTCCTAATTCAGTTTCGCTGACTGGGCACTTTAGACACTAATTCGGCTTCGCATGCGACGCTACGACATTGCGATATTACCATCTTGCGATATTGCGATTTTCGCCATTAGTATATTACTACATTGTTGATTACCAGATTAGCGTAGGGCATAAGGCAAAAACTTCGAATTCAAGAGTCTTTCAAGCTTTCTAACTCAAAACTTTCGAACTCCAGGTTTTGTTCGTTCTTTAAAGTGTTCAAACTTTTTCAGGCTCCGAAGTTTCAATTGTCATCGTAGCATGTCAGAGAAACGTTCATTTGCTCGCGACACCAAGTAGTGCCCACCATCGCAGGGCACTCTGCGCCAGCACGCAGGCGGGGAAATCGACTCAGATCCCAGTGCACCGAGTGCATGCCTCCGTTCAGAGTCTTCCCGTGCCAGTCCTGGATGACTTTGAGCTGGTGAGGCGCGTGCATCGCAGAGTGTCAAGGTCCGCTTGCTGTGTCGAGTCATGCTTGCCTTTATCTTTGTCAAGGCGCGGATCCGCCCCGGCCGAACTTTGGCGGCGTGAGCGCTGAGCGTTGACAGAGAGATTCTAAGAGCCCCACAGCTTTGAGATGATCAGACGTAACCATCTCCCATGATGTACAATTCGTTGGTAGCTTTGTGCGAAGCCATTCTACCAAGCTGCCCAAGGCGGCAACAAATGCAAGCGGCAGGGCAAGCCGGCTGAGGGAATGTGTTGAAATTTTGACGCTCAAGGTGACGCTCAATGAAGTTCCTTCTTTTGCTTGCAGTGTGTGTTGTTTCGATGGCTTGTTCGGCTGTATCCTTCCAACTCAGACGAGGCACAGAGCGCACAATGTGCGAGACATTATGCTACGTTGCTCATGTCTGTTAATGCTCAGCTAGAAATCGCGGAATGTGATTTCTAGCGGTTAGTCGAAATCTAGCAAGATGCTGGAGTCTGAGCGTTTTCGAACGGACTGACTAATACATGCCTTTGTGCGTGCATGTGTGAAGGCGTGTGCTTGTTGTATGTGTTCGAGGGTGTGACATGTATGTCTGAGGGTGTGTGCAAGCGAACGAAGTGGTGCTTGCGTGGGTGGGCGGGTGATGGGAGGTCAGGCGAATGTCAGAATGTCAACCAATACATTCCGCGCATAGTCCCCCACTAGCCCAGCCCCCTCCCCGACAAAAAAAACTCTTATGGCCAGTTCATAAATTTCCCAGGAGCCCGAGGCCGACCTTGCAGAGTGCTCGCAAAGCCAAGCATTCGATGAGAGTAGTATGGAGGAGTAAATGTAGTGATCCTTCTGTGGGTTCATGTTGTTTCCAGCAGCGGGTTCAGGTGAGCTCCTGTGAGCGAAGTTGCCACTGGCACTATGTTGATCGGAAATGTTCACGAACATGCTACAAGGGATAATGTGTTGGCTGATGCGCAAGCCATGGCCATCCACAAAACAAGGCGAATGGGGGCACAGCTCGCGTGTCGACCGCGCGCTGCACTTGTTCTGATCTAACGAGCAGTCGTTTTTCAATGTAGTATGGGGCAGAGATCCATATGATATCATATCACCTCACACTAGAGTTTTTGTTAATTTCTGGTCGTGCTTGCAAGGAGTTTTAGTTGAACGTCGCGTCCGTAGGGTCGCAGGTCATTGTTTCGGCCATTCGCTTCCACTCGACGCATTCGATCCTGCACGTGGTACAGGATGTGAACGCGAAGCAACACCCTGCAGAGCGCATTGGCCAGAACTATTTGTGTGAAAGGGCAGCATGTATCTCTGCGTTGCACTTTGCGGTTGAACTGTCGCTGCCGTGGACCGATTGTAGTCTTGTGAATGGATCACGGGGTGGCAAGTGCAGCACTCGAGGTGTAACAGGTTTCTCATCGCATGAGCACAGTATAGCACAGTCTAATTAGCATAGATGGACTTAGACAGACTCGGTTTGGTTCACACTTACCGCTTTCCAACAGCTCCAGAACTCATGAGACGGGCCCTCGGCCACAAGATGCTTTTTGCTGGAGCTTGTGTACACGGGGCCTGCACAGAATTTTCAATCGCAGCTTCCCGTCTTGAGGCTGGCTGCCGTTTGCTGCGCAGGGCTTATTCTTCTCCATGACGAGAGCAAGCCATCAGTCCTTGGTACCGCTTTGCTTGATCTTGTTGCACGTATGGGGCATGTGGCGAATCATCCCCAGTATGAGCAATCATCGCTAGTCTCCAAGTCTGAGCGCCCAATGTTTCATGCTAGCGGTTATCCTTCACCGGCCAACCAAGACCGCAGGGTCACAAGTCAGATAGCTCATGAATGCAGCAGTTAATGCAACAACATGGTGTCGAAGAGAGTGTGTCAAACCATCACCATCTTTTGTCATTGTGTGACGTGTGGCCCCAGGCAGACCAGCTTGATGACGGCAATTATGGCTTTCAGGACGAAGGCCGGAGTCGCAAGAACTACAGTGGAAACCGTCGGTAGCGTGTCGTTTGCGTGAGTAGTGACGAGCATGAAAGGTTGGGCCACTGGCAGCTCAAAGGCTGCTTGTCTTGCATGTCTTTAGCCGAGCCGAAGTGAGTGGCGACCGCCAGTCCTTGATGCAGGGTTTTTTGTTCGAAAAAGTTAGTAGTTCGCGACTTGACACATGCCCCTCTGTAGCCTCAGCCGATCAAAGGCTTAGAGATAATGCTGGTTGTCAACAACATGGCTAAGGAAGCATTGGGGGTTCGTTTATGGAATTATCGGAATTGGATATTCTGTCACCATCTGTCACCACTGAGCAAAGATAGTTTGCAAGGTTATAGGTCGATGTATACCAACTCGGCTTCTCCGGTGCCATGGGCCGACCTTGGGCCTGCGACCCGAATGACGACAAGGAGCGAGCGAAACGCAGCGCGGACAGCAAGCAAAGTCCGTTTCTACGCGAAGTGGTCATCCGGAACTGCATGTCTACCATGGACATGCCCTACACCTGCAGACATATCTGCAGTCATGCCTGTTCAGATTTCTCTTGTCTCCTTCCCAGCCAGTCTCTGGGAACATCACGTTGCATCAGCATCAAGTTGCAGGGCTATTGCTTGGTTGGTCCTGATATGTACTCAGCTTTTTCGTGTGCGTGAAAATGCTGGGATGATTGAAGTGGGCTTCGTTTTGACGTTCGAGGTCTGGAGCTGCTGGCCGAGCGGGCCAAGCGTTTTCGCGAGGAGCTGGGCCGACGCCTCGACGGTGCTCAGAGGGAGGCGCGCACGATGCGATTAGAAGCCTCGATAGCAGATGATAGTAGGGTGTTGAATCTGGAGGTCAAATTGAGTGACAAAGTCTGGGTTCCGCGGATTTTGCTTCTCACTCGTCTACCGGAAAAAGCAGCCTGGGTTTCGGCAAGGAATGATCGGGTCTTTCGAATTGTGATCGGCCGAAAGTATTGCTGCGTTGCAGGTCGCAACGTCGTCACCACTGAATGCAGCTGCAGCAGCCGTAGAGCTGATCGAAGCGTCTGACCCGCTATTGGCCGGTATCGAGAACAAGCGGCATGACGACTTGATCAGACCAGAGGCTTGTGCTGCTGCGCATCAGTTTTTCCAAGGGCCGCGCACTGTGAATGCCCATTTGCTTTATTCAGACTTTTGGGGTGGATTTCTTGAAAACAACGTCAAGCAATGCACGAGGCACAGCGCCATGTGACTGCGGTGCCCGAGACCCGTGAGCTCGAGGCAGAAGCAAATGATGGGGCCAGGCATGGCCACTCGGCTTGTTCTGGCAGAGAAGGCAGGAAGTAGCGGGTACCATGCTGTTGCCGCTTTCCCTTCAATCGCAGCATGCGGCTGCCGTCCATGCACTGTATGCAGTTTCGGACTTCTCGCGAAAGCCTCTGAAGGATTTTGTAGGAGCTTCGTTTCACTGCAGGGCGTGCAGCCTGTTCCAGACGTGTGTTTGGCAAACTTGAGACTGTTCGGGACCATCAGGGATTGACGAACTGATATGACTGATATGCTGATCATCCCTGTGCTTGGCAAGCTGGGCATATGCATGTGCTTTTCGACGCTAGAGTCATGCCTTGTTCAGGTGGTTCCCCGGATGTCAATTCCGTGCAACTCGCTATTGACTCCATGCAGTTGGCACCTGTATTCGACACCTGCTTGCACACGTGACGTATTTATTGTGTTTCTCATTGACAGGCCGTCAGCAGATGTTTGCTTAATTGTAAACGCTTGCGCGCGCCGCCTCGGCAGCCGGGCCGGCCCCAGGACAGGAAAGGAGGAAAGAGGGTTTCGCAAAAAAAGGGAGGAAGGGCAGAGCGGGTGGGGGGGGGGGCGGGGGGTGAGGGGGGGGGTGGGGGGGGGGGGGGGGGGGGGTGGGGGGGGGGGTGGGGGGGTGGGGGGGTGGGGGGTGGGGGGGGGGGGGTTTTGAGGCACTCCCCCTGTAGGAGCCACCGACAAGCGGGACCCTCCACAGCATCGGTTTGCAGCTCCTCCAAGGGATTGGGGGGGGTCCCACAGGGCTGGGTTAGGGGGAAGGAGGCCCGATCCGGGTCTGCTTGTTCCAGACGCTTCTCGGCAGGAAGCCGAGGCGAGTTTCGCAGACGTGGGCTGAGGCTGAGATGGTGTTGAAGCGCCAGTGGCTAGCGTTGAAGGTTCTCCTTGCTGGAGAGGCGTTTCTCGTGCCATGCCGTGCTGCGAGGCGCGCGGTGATGAACAAGTTGCATGAAGTCCTAACGTTTTTTGCTGGGCAAGTTGAGAAAAGTTCCCTGATGGCTCATGTGTAGCTTGAGGGCATGCTTCTTTGGCAGGGATGGTGTTTTCGTCTTCAGCCATATGTCCTGGCACTCCTTGGGTGCCTTGCACTCAGCCCGACTGCAGCTTGTGGCAGCTCGGCGGCAGCTGTGTCCTCGTGACACATCCGGCGGATGTAAAAGAGGGGCTCACATGGGCCTCCGGGGGCGGGGCCCGCCGGGCTCTGCCCTCTGCCCTCTGCCCTCTACCTGGCTTCAAAGCTGTTTGCGTTATCCACCTGCTTACAGCTTGTGGTCTAGGAAGCGTAGCATGATTGCGCGCCTTTGATATCCTGATGGCCGTTGCTGGTATGCAGAATCGCACGAGTAGCATTGGGTCAGCTGCAGGCCTTATCCGATGTTCTAGCATCTGGGTGCCACAGTCTACTAATTTCGTCTGCTGTGTTGCCCACCTGTATGACATGAGCTCTCTGGTAGCTTGCGATTCGTGCGTTGGACCGTGCTGCCAGGCATCTCACAGCGACGCGTGTGTACAGCGGCTTGGATACTGCAGTCGCCGAACACTGGTTTTAGCGTTATGGCGAATCCGACAGGAACTGCCTACGTATAGATGTTCGGAAGTTTTCAAGTCTAAGTCAAATTTTTGATGTAGACTCTGTCTGTAGATGAGCCAAGGTCCATGCAAGAGCCGATTGCCTCACAGCTTGTTGTCATGGCGACGGCTGAATTGTCACAACAGGCAGCTTTCTTTTGGCATTGGACGTCGCAAGGTTGGAGACAACAACTTCAGGTGATTTTGGATGCTAGGACTGCCCTAATTCCAAGTGGCTTTGTTTGACACATGTGTTGACATCGCAGTATATAGCCACATCAACTCGTCGTTAGAACTTGTGCTTGTGACGGTAGGTGGTGGTGGTGGTGGTTGTGTTGCCGTTGTTGCGGTCAATTGACTGCTGTCGCCACCACCACGGTCGTCTATGCTGTCGTAAAGAGTCGTAAGAATAGTCGAGACAACATAGATCAGAATTTCTAGTAGGTTTCTTCACAGGTAGGCGTTTCAGGCTTCGCAGCTTCAGCGGAGCGAGTGACAAAAGACATTCATTGTCGTCGTGGTGTTGTAGTCGTCACCGGAGTAGGAGTAAGAGGACGAGGGGGTAGGAGTAGAGGCGGGAGGTAGAACAACAGTAGCAAGCCTGTCACAAGCTCCACAACTTTAAACAAGCCGGGAGTCTTAGTCTACCTATTTCTTCAGCGGTCCAGAGTGAGAGGCCTACAGTGCCAAGCCCGAAACACCAGACGCAACTCGAGATGCACATGTGTGAACCACGCACATGGCAGATCTCTAAGCTTGACGTCGCAGCAGTTGTTCATGCTTATCTGGGCGGATTCGCCCGCGGTAGGAAGTAGCTGGAGTGTGCAATGTTTGTTTGGGACTTGAGACTTGGAGAGTTGGCATTGCGGAGCGATTGAAGTTATTGAAGTCTACATGAGCGCATGAGCAAAGCCTCGTAAGTGTAATGCAAGTTTCAGAGGGCTTGTTTGACAGGTTCGCAAGACGGGCCATGAGCGCCTAGAAGTGCCTTTGCAAGCTTCCTCAGGGCCGCTTGGCTACGTACCTTCAAGGCATGTCAACGCATTCGAAAGCGCAGATGCGCTGGATGCTGAACCGCAAGCTCAGGCCGCACGAAAGCCCTCGATTGGTTGGCAGCATCTCCGCGCCCCAGCAACTATCACAATGCAGATCAATGCAGCTTCCATGTTTAGTTGGCTCACGTCGGCTGTGTTGGTGCGAAGAGGACATGACAACATCGCTTTATCGCTTTGTGTGAGGTGACGCTATCCTTTAGTTCAGAAAACGTCCAAGCCCCTCGTATGGACGGGTCCTTGGAGCCGAGTGGGGTTCACCTCAAGGCGGGGGTTTTGACATTGGGGAGAAAAGAAAAGTGATCGCCAAGGGTTTTCCATGGAATTCCAGCCGACTGGGCAGGTTTGGCTCGAAGACTTGAGGCTGCGGCTTCCTTCCTTGAACGGTGTCTTTGTCGTCTTGAAGTTGGGTCCAGAGCAGGAGGTCGTTGTGCATGTCTCCAAGCACGGGCAACGAGCAACTCGTCCTTGGTAAAGGGCCCCAAGCTGCATGTTCGCGTGTCAAGCCTTTGGAGTGATTGATGCACCCACTGAGGGTACCCGCTGGCTCAGGTAGAAGAAGGTGACTTGATAGGCCGCCTTGGATTCATGGCTGTGGCAGAGCACACTGCTTGGAGACACTCGGCCTGGTTTAGGTTCCAGTTTGCCCAGCGAGTTTCGCGTGCAGTCTTCCATGGGAAGCTGTAGGAAGCTGTGGCGTTTTGGAGGCTTCGATGCTGCTCGAGCTATCCTGATATCCGGCCCGCGTCCTGTCCCTCGACAAAGATTCCCAGCTTTCTCAACAGCTTCGGTCATGGAATGCTGGGTGTAAACTGAGGAGAAGTTGTTCTTCCAAGTTTGGGCTGGGCAAGAGCTGCTTGGCCTTGTAGGTACCAAGGTTGCAGTTGGCAGGGGGAACATTTGTACTGGTTCATTGTGAATGCAGACGCTGGCCAAGGCGTTCAAGTACCTGTACTTCATGAGGAGGCAATGCGCGACCTCGCACAACGTGGCCGTCCTTGCCGAGTCCTCAGTCCTGATCTAGGTGAGCTTTCCACGCAACCTGGAACAACTTCGTGTCGTGAAGTCGCTTTGCTGGGCCTGCGGTCCTCCTGCTGCGAGAATAGTATCCTGGTGACCTCCCTGCAGAGCTGCGTTCCTGTGCTCTTGAGACGCGGGTACCCTGTCCACCAGCTTCAGTCCGCAGGTGTAGCCCCGCCGCCTTCACCTCTGCTGTGACCACTGCTGAGCTTTGCCGAAGCTTGCCTTCGACCAGCAAGGTCCTTGACCCCTGTCTCCATCTTCAACGATTCAACAGCATCAGCTGTCCCACGCGCTTGCTCCGGCAGTCGGACTAGTTGTGCCTCCTTCCGTGCACACCTGCGGCCCGGAGCCGGCCTGGCTCCAGCCCACGCGCCGAGCGCAACTGGCTCCGCTCTGTCTTCGTCCCGAAGTGGAAAAGGGTGGCCTCTTCTCCTCCGGACCAGCTCCGGAGAAGGGCCTGCTGATGTTGGGGATTTCAGCGTGGGGCATGGTGGGCATGGGCACGCGGCTTGCGATGGCAGTGCCTTCGTGGTGGGGGCAGGGTTGTTGCGGACGATGAGGCGCGGAAGCGCGCCAGAGCACAGCCGCATCAGCCGCACAGTCGGAGGCGGTTCATCTTGCAAGTGGCCAGAACTGGTGATCACAGTCCCGCGCCGGGCAGCGTTGCTCAAGGGCCGCCATACCAGACATGAGAGCGTGCAGAGACGTGCAGTGAACGAAGTGGCCATCTTGTGCTGCAAGATGATGCCCAAGACAGAGGGCTTGAACATCCACTAGTATGGCGACTGAGGCACATTAGGCACTCCGCACTCCTGCATGCTTTGTGCCACGCACGCAGCACAAACCAGCCACAGCTGTGCCCTGCCAAAAGCTCGCTTCCGTATGGACATGTGTCGAACTAAGGTGTTGAGCTTTTGGCGGTCGAATTGCCGGTGCAAGCAACCTCCAATGGTGAGCTGATTGGCAGCCTTCGTGCTAAGATTATGGCAGAGTTCACCTCGCAGAGGTGCCGCCTCAGGGATGTTTGGGCCTAGTGGCTGTGGAAGTGTGGTCGAATGCTGTGGGGGTTTTTTCGTCTTTGATCAGGCGTGAAGCTGGCCCAAAGGCTGGAATCTTGAATGTGCTGTGCCGTGCTGCGCTGCGCAACTTTCGGTTTTCCCAAGCCAGGCAGTGGAAGCAGAAAGTGACGAAGGTGAGGAAGGCGACAAGCTGCAGCAGAGGTCGGCTCAGAGCAAGGGCCCCGCTCAAGGATGCATAGAGCTGTCGGCGCCGCTGTCAGACAGAGAGGTGTCTCGACTACGTTTTGACTGAACAGAGCCTCGATTTCTCAATCTCGGTTCTGTTCGCATCCTGCGTGTTGCTGATGTTCACTTCTCATCTGAATCTTGCTGGTGTTTGCTTTCGTTCAGTTCCGTGATGGCTTGCTCAGGCTGCGACTTGGTTCCGGCATATGTTCTCACATCAGCTTTCCGAATCCTTGCGGATTTCCGCTGATCGCATACATATTTGTCGTGGCTTGGAACGCAGTCTGGGCTTGTGGATGGGTTCCTCGCATTTTCTCAAGCCTGGTGGCCTGAGAGTCTTAGAGGGGAGTGCACGGACTGACGCGATAGAAGAGTTTTGTAATAAGCAAAATGACGTTCAAGTTGTTCCGCTTTCTTGCACTGCACACTTTTGTCTGTTTTGTCTCTGCCTGTCATGCACTGCTTCTCTGAGCCTCTTTGAGCCCAAGACTCTTAGGAGTCGACGGAAGGACGCTGGTCTTCGAGATCGCTCCCGGGCCCAGACACGAAGCGCCACCCGGGGATGCCCTCGCCGAGCTGGGGAGGCGCGGAGGAAACGGCCAGAACACGAGAACCTGCGCGCGCGCACGCGAGCCTCAGCGCCATTCAACTAACGCTGCTTCTTATTTGGTCATGCTCGGCCCAGTTTGAGAGCTTTGTCGGGAAAGGTTGGGGCAGACTTGTGCTCTGTGTCGCTGTGTGTGCATGCGTGTGTCGGGTTCCATTCATCAAGTTGTGCCCGTGCTCTTGGCCTTCGTCCACGGTTGTTGCCTCGCAGTTCATCAGCTTGACTGGCAGCTCACACCGGGCAGCTGAATATCGCAAAGCTTCAGCTATGCAAGGTTTCCAAAGTCTGATTGGGCTGGGGAGAGCCCAACGATGTGGAGCTTGAGGAACTCCACTGTCAAGCTTGTCATGAGAAGCGAAAAGAATACAGCAGCAATTGCATTATTGCATCGCATTATTATGGATTCCCCCATATACAGGTAGACAGCTTTGTGTGCCACAAATGCTAAGCGGAAGAGGTTTGCCTGGACCTGCTGTTAGCCGGCATGCCAAGCTGAAGTGAAAATTTGCACGTGTCCAAGAACTTGTTTCGTCCTGTTCCAGACACTTGTTCTGTGTTCTCATATGTTAACCCTCAGACCTGCATGTCTGGAAAGCACTTGTGACTGGTGAAGGCAACTTGCCACGCGAGATGCTCCGATATGGAACACCAACCTGGCCAAGCTGCTCGCGACAGATCCGCTTGATTCCCGGAACCCAGGGTTTGTTTGTGGCCTCTGTGAGCTTCTTCAGTTCTCGGCAGAACTGAGGCCGATGATGGATGCACAAGAGCCCAGAGGTGAGCAGAGGCGTGCTTGCGCAGCCCAACCTGTGGCACCGTGTGCAGTTTATATGATCAGTGTCATAGATGCAGGTTGGCCTACGCTCCGAGGGCCGCCGTTCCGCTCGTACAGGACCCGAGAGAACCCTGGAGTGCAACAAGGCTCGAAAGTCGCCGTCACAGTTGCACGCAACGTGCCCATTTCATCTCTTTTCTCCCACCACTTGTGAGTCCACTGCAGGGCTGAGCTGATGGGAAGCCTTCAGCAGCGCCTCTTCGAAGTGGTGAGCCCATCCCACAACTGTCCAAATCTGTCCAATTCCCTGCTGCCTTTGAAGTGCAGGTACATGCGTCTGGTGTCGAGGTGAGCAAAGCCTTTGCAGTTCTCGACACGAATCGACCACAGCTCAGCTGTCCGATGGTGAGGAGGTAGTCTCAAAAAGTCCACAGCCATTTTTTTTTCCTTCTCCTTTTTTTGGACGTTCAAAGGCGACGGCCTGGTTGAAATCACCGATATGGTCGCCCTCCTCAACCATCTTGGACTTCCCCTGCCGGAGGTGGGTGCTCAAAGAGAGTCCCTTGCAGCGACATGGCCGGATGCTTGAATGGGATGCTGGGCTGCTTGAAGGATGTTCTTCACTTGGCAGAGAAGCTTTCCAACGACGAGGGGTGCCAAGTGGAGTTGTTGGACTTCTGCAGGCCTGGAAACAAGCGCCGTCACCGGCCGGTTTTTCAGTGGTCTCTGAGTCTCTTGGTGTCTTTGGTGCATTTGGGCAGGCGCTTTTCTGCTTGGCAGTCCTGCCGTGTTGCCGACACTTTGCCGCCGGCTCCTGTGCCCTCAGCCTGGGAAAATCTGCTGCTTGGCAGAGTGCATGAAACCATGCGTGCCTTCTGCTCGCAGAAGATAAAGTTGATCAAAGATGCCGTGCTGTGACGTCTTGCTTCCAGGCTTCTGCCGCAGGGTGCTCGAGCAGACAGGCGATGTCTTCTTTGGTCAGATGAGCGCTGTTTAAATCTTCTGCATGCTGCATAGGAGGTCCCCAGCCGGCAAGCGCACAAGAGATCGTTTTAGGCAGAACCCAGCGCGCTCCAGTTCAGATCAATGCAGTCTCCCAGATCCACGCCACGTTTCTGAGGATTTCTGATTGTTGGTGCTTGTGCTATTTCACGCCTTTTGTGCGGTGATGTAGTGTGGTGTACTTCTCAACGAATTGTCACACTCACCGTGCAGTGGCTGAATGCCACGAGCAGGTTTCCTTTGATACACCAAGCATTTGTTGTCCGTTTCTTCGATTCCTTATGACATCTTGCAAACAAAGGATGTTAATCGTGCACTGGTTTGGTCCCGTTTGCATTCTGGACTTTTTTAAAATGCATGTTTGGTTCAGCGTCAGGTGTCTTTTGATGCCTTCGTTCTTCCTGTACGCATTGCTGGACCCAGAGGGAACAGGCCGTGTTCCGCCCGAGACGTGGCACTGCACGGCAAGAAGATGTCTGGGTTTCAGATGCCTGGCTAAAGCTGATGGTTTCCTCGACATCAGACATCTCAGACACGTGTTGCATCCTCCTTCTTTAAGATACAAAGATGGCAATCCTAAGTCTAGGAGGTACGCGCATGTCTCAGGTGCCGATGCAGCAGCCGCCACGTACGGCTTCTGCGATCAACATGGAATAGGTGTGGGCGCAGTTGACATTTGTCCAAGTGAGATGACACACCACTACACGACGTCGGCCCATGTGGCATGCATTGAATC